TCTAGCTGCAAAGGGTGGACCGACGTCATATTGAACCCTATGGATTAGGAACGGGATGTCACTTAAGCTCATATGTGAGTCAAGGCAGGTGAGCAAATACTTTTGGCAATATAGTGTATATATATATATATATATATATATATATATATATATATATATATATATATATATATATATATATATATATATATATATATATATATATATATCGCCACACCTTCTCATTCAAAGAGTTTTCTTACTATACTTAACAGAACAAGTTTGAAACAACTGAAAATATGTCTCATATTGTAGTTTCTTCAAAGTAGCCACCTTTTGCTTTGATGACTGCTTGGCACATTCTTAGCATTCTCTTGATGAGGTTCAAGAGGTAGTCACCTGAAATGGTTTTCCAACAGTTGAAGGAGTTCCCAGAGATGCCTAGCACTTGTTGGCCCTTTTGCCTTTACTCCACATTCAGCTCACCGAGGCCAGGTCATCTGGCACAGCACCCTAATCACTCTCCTTCTTGGTCAAATAGCCCTTACACAGCCTGGAGGTGTGTTTGGGGTCATTGTCCTTCTGAAAAAAAAAATGATGGTCCAACTAAACGCAAACCGGATGGAATAGCATGCCGCTGCAAGATGCTGTGGTAGCCATGCTGGTTCAGTATGTCATGAAAATAAAAAAACTCTTTGATGACAAGGTGTGTCCAAACTTTTGCTCTGTACTGTGCCTTATGTTAAATTAAATTATAAAGCTCTTGATCTGATGTGCTGTTTCAAAAGTCCTTAAAGGAGATCAAATGCATCTTCGGTTTAATGGGCCATCACTAATCACAACCCCCACAGTGATTCTAGCTTTTAACTGCAAATTAAAAGCACAGCAGGCTAATGTACTGGACAATTTATATAATATTATTGATTTCCCATAAAAGACAGGTTGTTAGGATTTCAGCTAAAGGCAATCATGTCATGATCTGTAGGTCTTATAGTACGGGTTATATTTTATTCATGTCTTCTGGCTTCTTTTATTTGTTTATTGTATTCTATAGGTTCTGCCATACGCTGTCATTTTTACAAATTTGGATTTGCTGTATTAGTTTTATTTGCTCAGTGTGCCGGGTGTCAGTTTGACCATTTAATTTTAATCCTCCCATCAAAACAATGAGGTAATAAGTTCTGTCTCCTCATTTTGCCTCTTGCTTTCCCCATAATGCATGCCTTCATTTTGTTGTCAGTCTCCAGGATCTCTGTCTCACTGTAAACATTATTTTATCAAATCTTCAACTCATCATGTTGCTTCCTAATCTGTAATTCGGTCCAGAAAATCAAACTCTGAAAGATTAAGATATATTCTAAAGTTATGAATAGAGTTTCGTAGAGATTTTCTTTAAATCTGGCTCCACCTTCCATCCAGTATTTGCATTAATAATTAACATTACCAATCTACAAGGTATTTTTCATGCTGCTAGACTTGAATTATTTGAATCAGCTATGTTGTCTTAGACTCACATATGAACTTCAATTTCTGAAGACCACTGAAAGAAAAATAAATCTAAAATATCTTGTCAAATAGAAACATTGGATATACCTCAGCACAGCACAGTTAAGAGGCTATGTATCATTTCTAGGACATCCTTTGATCATTTAATAAACATCAATGCACAATTTATCACTCATATCCACAAGGTCAGGATTTTTATTTCATATTTTTTATCCTAAGGGATGCAGAAAATACCAAAAGAAATGCTCTAGTAGTAAAAGAGAAGAAGAGCGTAGTTTGAAGTTCAGGGTTATTTCTCAGCTGCCATCCAGAATATGCTCCTCATTTCTCTCTCTCAGAGCTGCAGAGCAAAAGGGTTGACTTTTCCTCTTGTCTCCTATCACAAGAAGTGAAATAATGGTCTGTGTGGGGTGGGGTGGGGTAACAAGAGGGGAGGAGAGCTGGAGAAATAGACTGCCTCGCTAAATACTTTCACATACTGAAAATGTTAATGAGGAATCCAAGACTGTGAAATGCCAAAACTGCTTTCTCTTGATGGAAACAAAAATAGAGAGGGCAAACAGAGGTGGCAGCTTACCAAAAAAAAAAAAAGAAATTTAGCACAAAAAAACACATTGCTTTGTACGCTTATACTAGGAATCACTCAGTGGCACTAAGAGGCTCCAAAATCCATCACAATGATTTCACATGTAGCAGGGATTTTCTGAAGCACAGAGGGAGAAACTCATTATGGTGGCTCATATCTGAGCTGTTGCTACTGTGGCACTGACAAATTGCTCCACACTGAAACCAACACGACACATTTCAAAGAGACCGTTCCTCATTATGGTGAACAACTCCAGGTGTTGGCTGCTCCTCAACAGAAAAGGCAGTAAGTGGTGGAGAGTGTTTTTTTTTCTAATGTACTGAGATAATGACTGGAGCAAGAAATGGAAGGACGGACAGAGCCTTATTTGGTAAGTCCTAACGCGAAGCAAAAGAAAGTAAAAGGGCTACAGCGGAGTAAAGATGCAGGAGGCAAAGATTACATAACACATGAGCCAAACGGTGAGGCTTTTTAGGGTACATTTTCTACTCTTTTTCCTTATTCACTCTTACTTACCTGTAATTTACTGATAACAATATACTAAACATAAAATATAAGAACTGCAGCAATATTAAGCATAAAAACAGATCAAGGGCAAACAATGATAAAATGCTTAACAATGGCACAACGGCACACTGGTCGCACAGAATAAGCAACTTTAAACAGGCGTGATCTTCCATAAAGAGTCAGAACCAGGGATGCATTGTGGGAAAGAAGTCCAAAAATGTGGAGCTATGCTAGAGCAGCGCTTTGGACCCCATGGTTTACTAACAGGAAAGAGGTGTGAAGAAAAGAAAAAGGATGAAGAAGAGCAAAGAGTTCAAACAGACGCATGATTGCAAATAAGATGAGTGAGATTAGGAGGGAAACCTTCAGATTATAGTGATATTTGATGGGTAATCAAATAAGATGTTTAAAAGAAGAAGTTCTGGAATTGACCCAGAAATGTGCGTTACGGACAAGTTAAAGTTTGTAAAGTAGCTTGTTAAGAAGACCAGAAACTAGAGAGTTATGACGAGCATGTTGATGAAGAAAGCTGCAGTGGTGGATGTAAGAAATGGACGGAGAATGTTAAGGTTTAGAAGGGATACAATATAAGTTTATATGGTGTTCTATAGACAGACAGCTGTTGAAGGTGAGGCTGCTACATCTGGTAACAATGGACAGCAAGGAAACATTTTTTTTTTATTTAGTTTGAGGAACTTAATCAATGGAGGATTATGGGCTTAGAGAAGAAATGTGCATTTGGGTGTCATCTGTATAATGTAAGTTGTGATCAAGTTGTGATCAAATAGGATGTTTTTTTTATCACAACGATCAAGTTGCCTTAACCCTTTAAAGTCTGGACCATGAAATAATAGATTGAACATTTTATTCATTGAACTTTCTGACAAATTTTGTATTATTTATTTAGATCACTTATTATCTAAATAAATGAGGTCATTTATATGCATAAATTTTTATACATAAGGCCTTTCTTTTTAATCTTTTATAGATTTTCTGTGTCTGATTGTGTAATTCCGGGTTTTCATGAACAAAAGTATCACACTGATAATGCAGGTGTCTCAAAAACTGATGTGCCAAATATGATATGATGAAAATCGACATATTTAGCATATTTTACAATCCAATCCGATTTTACTTTCTTTGTATTGAAGGGATGCAGATGAATGATAACTTTGAAAATATTCAATCTTTCTTGGATTTGTGGCATATTTTTCTATAAAGGCTCATTTTCAAGAATTGATCAGAATCAGCCAATCGTCCCCAACTTGATGATCAAACTGATTTCTTTTCCACCTTTGACTTATTAAACAATTCAAAACTAAGAAATCAATAAATTTTTTTATTTGGAAAATGCTTCAGCTATCCTGGTTGGGTCGTATGCTTTGATGCATAAATGGAAATAGTCTTATAATCATTCTAATCAAAACTATTAAAGAACCTGCAGCAAATGTTGCTTCTTCTATGTGCTTAAAATGAATAACAGTGAATTTTGCATGTCACACCTAAAAGAATGATTGCTTTTCCACCTTTATAACAAACATTAGATTAAAGGATTTGTTTATTTCCAGAACTATGACTAAAAAGCTTACAGTAAATAATCCAAATTACAAACAGACTTTATAAGCTGCCAACATTTTTTTTTGTAGATGTTGCTAAATTATCTTAGTATTTAAATAAAGATCTGCAAGTTTGTCATAATTCATCATCATTTCAATCAGAATCCCCTGAAATAACATGTGTCGCTTTGTTAGGAAATGCTTTCCAGCGCTTGTTAGATCATAAATTATAAATCAAAAGCATGTGTTTATGTGTAAAGATATTCTGAACCCTGAGATTTATGAAAACATACAGGAACCAAATCCCTGCACGTCCTTTATCTCCACACTGCAAGAAATATAAATCTAACTAAGTCATTTTTTTCTTAAAATAAGTGCGTTGAGCTGGAAAGGGAGATAATATGCCAAATGGACAAAAAAAATTGCATTTAAAATAAGAAAAAGAAATTGCCTTGTCTCATTTCAAGAGCATATTATCTTATTATTTTATTTTAAGAGTAAACATACTAATTCCATTGGCAAATCATCTTATTAACCTGCTCAAATTAGGGGTAAATACACTTGATTTAAGACATTTTTACTCATTTCTAGATAAAAGACTGAAATAAGTAAGCAGTTTGACTTTTAAAGTGACTTTCAAAAGTGATGAACAAGAATCAGATGCTTCCTTGTCTATTTGTTTTCCTATTGTTATTCGTAGTTATTGATAACAGTTAGGTGTCAGGTATTTTAGAAACGTTCATGTTGTTGCAGTTGGACAGTCTGTGCGTTCTGGTGCGCCTTTGACCCTGACTTTCCCCCTCATCCCCCACTGGATTAGCGTGGTAATATTTCAGTAAAATTGTGAATAAAGGGTGATTTCTTACCGCTATGCGAGTCTGTGAAAATGCTTTAGGGTATAAGACGTTTCTTTGTCTGGGGACGAAGGGAAGGACGTGTTGGACTGGCCGTAGATTCTTCCCTGATGTTTCTCCTGTCAGGAGGAACCAGCTGGATGTTTCTCTGATGGCTTCTCAAACGCTCACTTCACAGCATCACTACGAGGCGTGCGTAGGCAGGCTTTGTCCATGTGTTCGCTCCTCAGTCGAGCTGAATGTCGATGAAAACTATGTGGTCTGCTGCGTAAAACCGGTGCCAAGATCCCTGCGGGCCCGTTCCGTTACAATGAGAGGAGACAATAGTCTGGTCATTTTGGTAGCGATCCTCCTGCTAAAACGGCCGAATTAGAAGCGAGTCTCTGGCGCTCCTTTCTTCACATCTCTGTGGCTGCCTGGATCGGGAATTGAAGGATAAATATGTCAGTGGCTCACATGGCTCCGGCGCTGCCTTTCGGGTCCCTCATCTTGCAGGAGTGGTTAACAGTTGCAGATCTGTTGATCAGTCGGAGGTTGATCCGGGCCGCACAGCCTCAAACATCTGTCTGCTGATCGGGGAGCTCGGTGACTGACAGCTGGAACCTCTCAGTGGAAGCCCGTCGACCCTTCGGTTTGCAGAGAGCGGTGGGTGAAAAAAAAAAGAAAAGATGATGTTGCGCGTACGCGCGTTTGGCAGTGCGCGCACCCGACAGGTCACATATTTTGGGTCCTTAAACATCTGCTTCAAAACGAGATCCGGTGTTAAAATAGCGTCAGACTGCAAAGGCATCACACAAACAGCTGCTGACACTATTTATTAAACTATGTGTAACACATGGGCGGTTCTAGACAGGGGCCAACGGGGGCCAGTGCCCCTGTAGATCATTTCCTTGCCCCTGCTATGGCCCCTGTACTGAAGACATAAAACTCAAAGAAATTCTAATGATGATATCCAACATGGTTACTGATATGTACTTTGGATCTATTTCATTTCTTTTCTTTACAAATTCTGTTTTACTAATTATTCAAAAACAATAAGGTGATAGCTTCAGTGGTACTGAGATAGGATCCCAGTTTTCATCTGCTAAATGTTTGTCTTGTTTTTTTTTCAAAACAAATTGCTCTAATTTTTACGGCCGAATTTGTCTTTTTTTTTTTTTTTGTTCTATTTCAGATTTTATAGAAAACGGTAATTTTATATGTAAAATTCCTAAATTATGAATGTATATAGACCTAATAAGAAATAGAATTTCAATTAAAACTAATTGAAGAGAAATTTTACTTCATGCAGCTATCTTAATATACTTGAATCCCTTGCCCTGTTTTTTTTATTTCATGCTTTTCTGGGCCCCCATAAAAACCCTCTGGCCCCCTCCTGGCCCCCTGAAACATTTGGTCTAGAACCACCACTGAATGTGTTACTTTATAGGTGGTAATATTTAGTAATGTCTCCATTAAAATCGCTGTGGCTATAATCATCTTCATAAAACGCTAAAGTAAGCATAGTCATTCCCTTTAACATTTGCACATTTTATCACATTATACTGTAGCTACAAACATTTTGAGAGAATAAAAGATTCTAAATGTATTTTTTTTTTTATAAATCACTTAAAAAGCCTGGCATGAACATGAATGTTTGAACCCCCTCGGTCCTGACACCACTAAATAAAATTAACTTTTTTGAAGGCCTTAGTCTTTTTAGAGAACAGTTGCGCCTAAACAGGTGGCACATACACGCATATAAAGTCCTATATATGAAACTAAAAAAAAATAAAAATAACTGAGAACTAGTACAAGCAACAGTCACGTGACTGCTTTTCTAAAGTTATTTTTGCAACCTAAGCCATGGCACCCTGGCCATGAGGAATAAAGGTGTGTATGGTTTAGTAAAAGATAATATGCGCCTGTAGAATACCTCACTAAGGTGTGTTCAAAGTATATTTTGAAAATGGAAAATATAAGGCACAAACCTGCTGAAAACTAGCCAAGTAACCAGGTGGGCCATGGTAACTGGAGGAGCTGCAGAGATCCAAGGCTCATGTGCGAGACTGAATAAGACAACCCTTAATTGCAAACTTTACAATTATGACAAAAATAAAACAATTTTTTTTTTCTTTTTTTTTTTTATCCATAAGTCCACTTCTAAGTTATCATTAAGCTGATTAACGGACGCACCAAACATAAGACAGAGAGAGCTTAGTGAGATGAGTGAGAGAAACATGGTGATGGCTGAGGACGACTAATCAGCAGGGTCTGGGAAGCTGCTTAAAGGAAATATACATGGATAGAGAAAAAGTTAGAGGTCATAAAAAAGTTTATACTCTCATAGGACTTTAACTTCAAGCAGGGCAGCAACCCTAAACAAATTACAAATATTAAAGGAGAATTCCGTTTTTTTACACTTTAAGCCCATTTTCTGTAGTGTCCAGGATGAAATCGAATGATCGACACCAAAAGTTTGACAATTGGTCCTGTCTCTGCTTTTTGGCTCATTTAGAATCCACCCCTGGCTGCTTCATAATGGCTGCCATAGTGCATGTCCGATAATGTCCTTAAAACAACCTTAAACGTTCTTTTTTTTAAATATGCTACTCACCGGGTCGTCAGCGCTGTTCAATGACGTTCCAAAAAATGTTTCGTGAAGAAAAAACGTTCCTGTAGTGTTTTATTTAGCATTTTGTAAATCCCATTGAGTTCTGTTGGAATAGTCAATATTCCCCTGCCACCGGAAACGGAAATTGGGCCTGTTTACACAGTTGTAGTCTTTTCGCTTCACTCTGTGTACTCCGACGTCGAGGTGCTAACGTCTCTGTTAAACACTTTAAAAAACTCTGAAAATGGAATACGAAAGGTGGATTCTTGATTCTCGACGTCGGAGTACACAGAGTGAAGCGAAAAGACTACAACTGTGTAAACAGGCCCCATTTCCGTTTCCGGTGGCAGCGGAATATTGACTATTCCTACAGAACTCAATGGGATTTACAAAATGCTAAATAAAACACTACAGGAACGTTTTTTCTTCACAAAACTTTTTTTGGAACGTCATTGAACAGCGCTGACGACCCGGTGAGTAGCATATTTTAAAAAAAGAATGTTTAACGTTGTTTTAAGGACATTATCGGACATGCACTATGGCAGCCATTATGAAGCAGCCAGGGGTGGATTCTAAATGAGCCAAAAAGCAGAGACAGGACCAATTGTCAAACTTTTGGTGTCGATCATTCGATTTCATCCTGGACACTACAGAAAATGGGCTTAAAGTGTAAAAAACCGGAATTCTCCTTTAAGATCAAAGCGAATTCCTGAGTTAGATTGACCCAGGATAAGTTCAGACCTACTTGAGAATCTGTATTAGCTCTTGAAATGCTTTTTACAAACACAAGTCTGTTTGACAATAAGCAGTTCTGTAAAGAATAAGTGAAAAAATAAATAAATACAAGAAAAACAATATATGTGTGCAAAACTGGTAGAGCCACACCGTAAACGTGCTGCAGAAAACGCCACAAAAGCGTTTTTTTCTGAAAAGCTTAGAGCAAAACATGCTAATTTACTTTTTTTTGTAATTTAAGTTTTTTATTTAAACAATCAAACAAATACAGTACAAAGCTTATATGGTATAATATGCAGAAAATAAAAGCTTACAACACATGGTCAGACAATTAAAGTAAAAATAAAAGGTGCTCCTGGATGGTAAAGGGGGGGGATTGTAACAGCATATGAAATATATATGCATTTATTACGCACATGTATCTTAACATAGAAATATTATAATAAAAAGGTCGAAAACATGCTCATTTACAAGATGAGATCTATAAAACACTACAAAGAACAATAATAATTTGTTTTAATTTTATCTGCAAAAGCAATAATTTGGGTTTTCTGGGCCTAGGAAGATAAATAGCGACTTGATCTGATGAGTGACAAAAAACTGGACATCAACTATCTCTAGCTGAGGCCTAGAATCATACAAAATAAACCAGTTATATTGACTTTCTTCACCAGATCCAAAAATCAGCCACCAGAAATCACTTTTTAATTCAATGTTATTTTTATGATCATTTAAGGACCTCACTGTTGGGGTTTCATAGCTCCCAATAGGGTGCATTTGGTAAGTAATGGCTCAAAATATTTGCTAGAAAATGATCCATCACAGGATTTCTTTTTTAAAAATGCCCGAAGCCAGCAGGAGCCTTCGGGAAACAATGTCTAATATGATCAAAAACATCTCCTGCTGAGAAACTAGTTAAAGGACTTGGATCAGTCAAGGTACTTAAGCTGCTCAGTCTGAGCGAGGGCCTTCATATGGTCTAAATGTGCTTCCACCCAAGGCCTCAAGCGGCGGGACACATATGCCTCATTTGGCAAATTGAAACCGCTGGTTGTTTTGAGTTTGCAGCTTGATTGTTCTGAAGCACAAGTTCATCCAACCCCCTCTGTGATTCTGTAGCCATCCATGCATGTCCTGTCTAAATCACTTTACAGGCTACATTCTGGAGAAAACTTAATTCTGAGTCCTCTTATGTAATAACAAGCGATATGATTCAGTGCTGTAGATCCTTCGGGTGACCAAGTGGGAAAAAGTCACACAGTCATAAGGTTGTGCAATTTCTTCGTGAGCATGTGTGCAAGTGAAAGTGCCTGCACACAAACCTCGACCTTGCCAGATCTCACATGGTGACAGACCTTCTGCAAAGAAAATAACAACATGTTATGCAATGGTTTTCTGTGAGAATGACAGGAAGGTTGCACTGGGGGAAGGTTAAGGAATAGGTGGAAGTCAAGATTAGTGCGATATTCAATTATCTTTTTGGAAGTGGATCAATATTTTACAGCACCTTTTCCATTCCAGAAAAAAACAAAAAAATAATAATTGGAACATTGTGAAAAATATTTGGCGTTCCATAGATTGCTTCTGTTGTCACATTCAAATGTTTAAAATAATACAAATATAACATAAGTAATTAAAATGAAAAGGGACTTAAAATCAACTTTGACCTCCTGAGAAAGTGCTAATAAGTGATTAGTGATAACATCTGCCATCAAGTATTTCAACCCGTGGGTTGAAAATAGCAAAGGTTAATTTTTTTTATGTTGAGGTTTTTGCAGCACTAGTGGCTCGTTATTGGAAAGTAGGCTAACAGGAGATGGGGTATAAGGGAGATAGATACAGCAAAGGACCACAGGCCAGATTCGAACTGGGATCGGTCGCATCAAGGGCTAGGGCCTCTGTACATACTTTTACTTTTCGGAACTTTTCTGAAGAACACAAAGAAAGCTTTATTTAATTAAATTCCTACACTCACCGACCACTTTATTAGGTACACCTGTCCAACTGCTCGTTAACACTAAATTAAGCTAAGCAGCCAATCACATGGCGGCAACTCAGTGCATTTAGGCATGTAGACATGATCAAGACAATCTCCTGCAGTTCAGACCGAGCATCAGTATGGGGAAGAAAGGTGATTTGAGTGACTTTGAACGTGGCATGATTGTTGGTGCCAGAAGGGCTGGTCTGAGTATTTCAGAAACTGCTGATCTACTTGGATTTTCACGCACAACCATCTCTAGGGTTTACAGAGAATGGTCCGAAAAAGAAAAAACATCCAGTGAGCGGCAGTTCTGTGGGCGGAAATGCCTTGTTGATGCCAGAGGTCAGAGGAGAATGGCCAGACTGGTTCGAGCTGATAGAAGGGCAACAGTGACTCAAATAACCACCCGTTACAACCAAGGTGGGCAGAAGAGCATCTCTGAACGCACAGTACGTCGAACTTTGAG